CCCGTAATCTCATCGGTGTGTACTTTACTTTGTTGTTACAGGAAAAGGTCACATCTGATATGTTCAAGTTGTTAGTGTGCTTCCAGTTAAAAGTGTTACTGCACACTGTATGAAATCTATTTTATACAAGCATCAAAACTAGAACAACTTTGAATTTCAGACTCTTGATGATTTTACTTGTGGAGATCTGAAATATCCCAGAGACCAGTCATGTTCATGGAGCGAATGTCACTGAAGAAACCCCAATAGACAATGAACTGAGAGGAAGAAGAAAACGCAAGAATTAAGAGAATTTGGCATGTTCCCGACAGGCTGCGGCATGTGATCACATCCATCAATGCTGCATGCAAGCTGGGAGCTCACACCAACAAACTGACAGTTAGCAATATCCAAAGATAAATTACACTCAGACAGATATAAAAAAAAAAGGATAAAGAATAGGGTATGTTGCCCCAGCCGGAGAGAGGGATGAGATGTGTGATATTTGAAATCGCTGAAAAATTGCATCTTTTATTGCGCTCTCTCTCTCTGAGAGTGAAGGTGGGGCTGTGATGTCTCTATATAAAGAAACTCTGTCTGGGTCTTTGTTAAGGTCAGACGATGCTGGGATTCTCAGAAGCTCACAGTCAGAAGCCAACAGCTTCAAACGGAGTGTTGCCTTTCAGCGCAGTGGCTAATATCAGCCCGCTAAAGCTATTCACTCCCCTACTGAGACATAGAGGACATAGACAGACAGAGACAAAGATAGATTCATGTGTATAATTATCAATTAATTGTTGTTTCATTTGGTTCTTTAGCTAAATTCATTTACAACTACCGGTGTTAGATATAATCGTTCACTTCTTCTTAAAGGGATGGTTCACCCAAAAAAGAAAATTCTGTTGTTATTTACTAACCCACACATCGTTCCAAACCCCAAGAGTTTCTTTCTTCTGTGGAACACAATGGGATGTGCAACACTTTTCCATACAACGAAAGTGAATGGGGTCTGATACGGTTGATTTCTAAAATTCATTAAAGTAGCCCATTATGAGCTATATATTCCAAGTCTTCTGCAGTCATACGATATAGCTTTACATAAAGAATAAAGCAAATGTGTAATTTAATGCATTTTAATGAAAATCTTCCTTTCTGCCACAGTGTTATTTTAACTAAAACTAAAACTATTAAAACTATATATTTGTTGGTAATTAAAACAAAACTGAAATAAAATCAAATATAAATATTAGCTGAAAATTTTTAACTTAAAAAAAACTTAAATTACTAAACTAAAGAACTAAAAACAAATACAAACAGATCAAAGCTACTGTATATATATATATATATATATATATATATATATATATATACACACACAGAATATATATATATAAACTAATAAAAATAACAAAAACCAAATGACAAACTAAAATGAAAAAGAAAATGTAGAACAACAACTATTTCAAAATATTATTTAATACTATAATAGTATACAAGTAAAATAACTGCCACTGCAGCTCACAAATCTCATTTGCGTCCTTAAACTATGACAGAAGCTACGATTTTAACTAAATAAACACTTAGACTTCACTTTATTCCTCATACACAGCTATCCTGTGGGTTCAGTCATTTGGAATATAGTGCACAACTCGTATGAACTACTTTTATGGGACATTCGTTACGCCAATTTGTAATTTTTAGAGTTTAACCGCCCCAGTTCCCATTCCCTTTCAATGTATGGAAAAGCATAACCTTTTAATCTACACAAGGTTGAAAATGAGAGGCAAACATTGACTTGCTGCTCTATCTATCCGGCTTCTCAAACACTAATGACAGCTTAATAAGTCTAGGATTTGCCGTCATCATTCACATTCTCCAATTTAGCCAGTTACAAGTGGACCAAACTCAATCGTTCAGACCTGAGAAATCGATCAACTGTATGTGACGTCCAGTCCCGCAGGGAGGTCTCTGGTATCTACAGGAATCCTAGGTCAATATTTCACACCGATTGGCCACCAAGCCTAAAGCAACAGTCGGTCATTACAAAAGACATTGAGTACAACACACACGACCAGCAAATGCCCTTGTTTACCTAGGACAGGTGGTCATAACACAAGGATGCTCTCAGGGGGTAAAGGTTCATACACTTGTGCCATAAGATTCCACAGTACTATTTACATACCTAAAAATCATTAATATCTGCTAACAATAGCCATATTCTCAGTGACAGCTAAAGATTATTCATTTTATCTAGTGTTTGACTGCTTTTTGTGTTTGTTCTAGGCCTCCAGAAAGTCAATATGCACTCGAAACACCATCAGATCAGCAATCAGCCCTGTAACACATTCAACACTTCAGAGAGAGAGAGAGAGAGAGAGAGAGAGAGAGAGAGAGAGACACTAATTTGCACCTCTGACTTACGTATTAAATAGTGTTGAAGGAATGTGAAAATACAATGACTATAAATAGATCTCATACGTACACACATTGAATGTATGCAATAAGCATCGGCTGCTAAATATTATGCACACCCTGGGTGGATCATAGCCCTAATTTCAACAAGGAATAATAAACTTCGCTATGGAAATTTCAGTAATGAGTTCTAACATAACAGACACACATTATGTCAGGACATGACTATGGTGAGAGAAATGATGTTAGACATTTTGCAGATACAAAACACTGTTTGTAACGACCCCAATTACATCTGAAGTGGCCTAAAAAAAGTATTTGGACACTTAATAATGTCTGCATGCTGTTCGGTTTATATCAAACAAAGTTGAATCTGCACCAACTGCAATGCTACCACTAAAACGGAAACTATTAAAAACAGTTCCAGTACATGAAATAGAGCTGAAATAAAATAAAATATAAATATTACATGAAAATTAGACATGTTGCCTTGGCAACTAATTGAAATAACTGAAGTACTAAAAATACAAAAACTAAATCTGAAAGGTGCAGTAAGCAATTTCTGAGAACCAACCCAAACAAACACACCCCTCCCTTCATTGCTCCTTCAAAATGCATGAACACACAATGCAAGAGTTGATGTCTCTTTATCATAGCCGAAGCGAAGCAAGATAATGCGTTGCGAAAAATAAAGCAAAGATGGCGAATGAACGACAAGGTACATGCATTACATACACAAGCAAGAGTTGCCAGCAGCACACTCGCTCTCCACCCCCATCATGAGTGTATACGCCCCCTACTGCTGATTGGCTACAAGTGTGTTGTGGTGTTCGGTCCAATCCAGTTTCATCAAGGTTTCTCAGAAATCACTTAAAAGGATAGTTCACCCAAAAATGATATCATCATCTAGTCACCCGTATAAATATCTTTGTCCTGCTGAACATAAAGGAAGATATTTTGAAAAAAGTTTGAAACCAGACCGCATTGGGGCACCATTGACTTCCATTCTTCAAAATATCTTCCTTTGTGTTCAGCAGAACAAAGAAATGTATACAGGTTTGGAACGACATGAGGGTGAGTAAATGATGACAGTATTTTCCTTTTTGGGTGAACTATCCCTTTAATGCATTTTTAACTGGCCTTTATTTCGTTTTACATGAAAATACGAAGACATCCTATTTGTTAATTCTTTTAATAAAATATTTGATCTGTTTTATAATTTTAAACAAACTTCAAAAGTGTGCTGTCTGTCTTTAAAATGAATGTTTTTCAGGGCTCCTGTCTACAAAATAGTGTTTGGGGCCACTGTAACACACCTTCCCACTTTAATTTTCTCAGTATTTCTCTTGTGCATCTTTTTGCTCCATACAAACAGGACTGTGAACGCTGAGGGATTCCTCTTCCCAAGTGATTCCAGGATAAAAAGACCTGATGACATAACTCATCCAGTGACGCATGTAACTCCAGATGCCTGAATCTGCAGCTACGTCAACTGTTACCGGGAGAAGCCCGGCCAACATCACTTATGTAGGTCGCATTAAAAACACATGCGGCGCCGCACGCAGATGCCAATTTTCAAAGACGGCCCCCTTTAAAAGCAGACTGGAATCTACTTCAGCAGGCTCTGATCATACTGTGGATCTTTCATGTTGACTCACGGAGCTAGTTATGAAAGAAGCCCACTCGGATCAAACACAAAGTTTCTTCTGTGACCTAAAACAAAGGCCAACTAAAGAAAAGTCTGATTTTGTAAAACAAATACTCAACTTTTTTGTGTTTTTTGGTCTGCTACGCTTAATATCCCATGATTCCATGTTAGAGCACACAGTTATGAGCAGAATATGTAAATGAAAGGGGATCTGCACACTGCTTGTAGGTAGAGTTAATAAAATGATGCAAATTGCATTATAATTAACTCTAAAAAGTGGAGCATTATGCTTTTATGTAAACTGTACCTCAGGGATCTCACATAACAATGCACTTAGCTACAAGTACTTTAGATGGCATCTTAAATTGTAGTGTGTATAGGTGTTTAGTGGGGTCTAAAAGTCTGAGACCTCAATTGAAAATGCTTTAGTTTAGCATTTTTCTATTTTAAAAAGTGAAATATTAACGTGAATTTCGTAATTCATTTTGCTTCAAAGACAACTGACCTTTTGTACAAAGCCTTTCACATGGTAAGTGTCAAAGATTTTCATACACTACCGTTCAAATGTTTGGTGTCCGCAAGATTTTATTTTATTCTTGAAAGAAATTAATACTTATACCCACTTAATAATCGATCAAAAGTGACTGTAAAACATTCATAATGTTACAAACTATTTTTATTTAAAATAAATGATGTTCTTTTGAACTTTCTATTCATCAAACAATTACAGAAAAATGGTATTCACAAAAAATATTCACAGTTTTGAAAAATATTAAGCAGCACAACTCATTTCAACATTTGTAATAATAAGAAATGTTTATTTAGCCCCAAATATTGCAGCCTCTGTGTGCTTTTTTCAAAAACATTAACACATATTTTTAATGTGGTTTCAGATTGTCAGGTCCCACTGGACAAATCTACATTTATAGTGTGTCATAGTGTTTGTGTTTCAGTAACTCACGGAAGGCGGGTCGGCAGGGGTCACTCCGTGTGCTGTCGGTCGAGTGGTTACTGGACACGGAGGAGACACTAGAGCTCCGAACAAACCCAAAGGCAGCCAGGCGAGCCGGCGGGAGGCGCGAGTATCCAGGAGGACGGAGGCCAGTCTGAGCTGGCTTCGGCAGGAAGGATTTAGCAGCTAACCCAGTCGCCACCGTCTTTCTCTGATCTGAGGGTGAATAAGACTATGATTAGTACTCAAATTCACTGAAAAAGAGAGTTCTAGGAAATAAAAACCACCACATACTGCTTTTTTCAGTCCATGGAGGTCAACATATTCTTATAATGGTGTGACAAAATGAGGCATAGAAATGTTTTCTGTTGGTACATCATCACATGACTGTCGCAACTGAGAAACAGACGCAGGAAAAGAAATTCAGAAAACACAAGAAAAAAAGAAAGTGAGTGTTGTGTCCTAAAATGAACTATTTCTAGGCAGACTGGCTTTAAAGATACTCACAGTAGGATAGAGAGAGAGACTGTGGTGTTTTACAGCCTCTCTCTGATGAGAGGTAAAAATCGCTTTAAAAAACTCCTGAAAGAATCATAAAGAGGTTGGCGGCTGTCTGCCTCCTCTGCCCACAGCATGACTGGCCATTCATCAACATATATATCACTGTAATATTCACATGGAGAAGGGCGATGAGTCACATTTCTCATCCATTGAGGGAGTCTAATTTAATATAAAATGTTTGCCAAAACATGTCATAAAGCCCCTATATGAGCTCAAAAAGCTTTAATATAAATTCTTAAGAATTTCATTAATCTATTAATTATGTGCAATAAAAGTGTGTTTCTGGATGTACTTGCAATTGTGTGGTTCTGATTGGACAGTGTCTGGTGCCTAACAGGAGTTTGCAGGTCTCCAGCAGAAGCCCTTTCTTTTTTAATTAGTCCAGGAGGCCAGTTGTTAAAGAGGCCATTGATTCCTCTAAAATCAGTTGTGCACACATGATTGTGATATCAGTGCTTAATAATGGCCTCAATTGAATAGAGTAGTGGATTTTCTAAACCCTATTTGCTTATTTTTACACCAGTAAAGATGATTAAATCTGTTTACATGCAATTAATAAGGATCATTATCTTTTTTTCCCCGCTCTCAGCTCTTTGCACTGTAGGTCTTCATATCAGATACCTCTTATTGCTGGCACCATGGGAACTGTCCTGCTGTCAAATAAAAAAATATGATTTTAGGAAGCACAAGAAGAAGAGGGAAGTGGCACAAAAATATGCACATGCAAAGAGCTACTGCAGGGTGAATTTAGGGACCCACTTCCAGGCTTGCTTTGAACTGGCAGTCTCCTCCCACCTAAGGTCATAATTTGGGGCAGGTGGAGAGAATGATCCCCTCCTGCTCTTGGAGATAAAGCACCTCGAATTCCCTGTTCCCAAGACGCTGTGATTGGAGCAAACCGTAGCGCATACTAAATGACAATCTACCATTTCTCATTTTGTCTGTCGCATTCTCAGACGTTTATTAGACTGCAGTGTCAGCAGTATGCTTCAAAGACGCATTCTTCACAAATGAAAACACACACATACACACTCAAGCAAACGCACACAACAAAGCACCCCCTCATCCATTCATCTCTAATCAAAGTTTCCCTGGCTCAATCGCTTCCCCCAGCGCCCCCTCCCACCCCAACCCCGGGCCATCAAGGTCTTTAATGAAATTGCAGGCAGCTTCTGCTTCAAGTGAGGGCTGTGGTCATTAAAGATAAATGTGTTCCTGTTCTCTCTCTCTGAGATTTTTTTTCACCATCAATCGTCTTTATTCCTTCCTGTTCCTACTTCCCAATATTTCCGGATTGCCCAGATCATTAGTCATCCATCATAGCTTTGATTTTGCATTTTCAATGTTTATTTATTTGTTTGTTTTTCACGCAAAGAAAGTGAATGGTGACCACTGCTGTTCCCATTCATTTTTACTGTATGGAAAAGGAAGCTTGGAAATTCTGCCAACGAGAAATTTTTGGGTGAACTGCCCCTTTAACACCACAGTGGAGTCATTTTCTCAAAGTGTTACGAATAAATAAAAAGGAAAAGGAATGTGTGTGTGCGCGCGCGCGCGTGTGTGTGTTTGTATGTAAATTTATAATTATGGATTGAAGCTCAAGAACTCATTGATTTCTTACTGAGTGTTACAATGCATGAATACATTACTAGAGCTCTTTTAACAAGCCATCAGTGATAAACACTTAACTGTATTAATGAAGAATGAAATGCTGCTAAACTGTATGTTGTCACGGGGTAACCAAGGAAGACGAAGAGGATCACGAATAACAACAAGGTTTGTTTATTTAAATAACTCAGAACTAACAAGCGAGACAGCGTGTAAACGTAAACACGAACAATACCGGACAAACACTGAGTGAACAGGAAGAACGTTCACACTGCAGGGGCTTAATGCTCAATTCCGATTTTTTTTTTAAATTCGATTTTTGTGCAAGGCCGTTCACATTTCCAATTAAATGCGACATTTTGTGATCTCCTGTGTGAACGTGAACGTGAAATGACCCAGAAGTGACCCGCATGCGCAGAAGAGTAGGCTACTGAACGGTCAACGACGTCACTTGTTGTTTGCGGAAGTAGCTACACATGGATGTCAACAGTGGAGCTCGTTTAGCAATATTAAAGTTATTTTCCCAACAGAGCCAGCACAATTACAATCTTCTCATTCCCGCCTTCAACGCAGAATTATGACGTTTGTCGCATATCAATGATGTGCGGGTCGGATACATGTGACCTGGCCGTTCAGATTGAAGTCGCATTTCAAAAGATCGGATACATATCGGATTTGGACCACATACCCAAGTGGCCTGGGTCGCATTCGAATCTGTATCGTTCAGACTGTCATGAAAAGATCAGATACAGGTCGCATAGAGGCAAAAAAATCGGAATTGGGTCGTTTCAGCCTGCAGTGTGAACGTAGCCTTATATACACAATGGTGATAATTAAACACAGCTGAACCAAATTATATAACTAATAATGATGTGTGACCATGGAGATGGAAGACAGGCGGGAACTCAACCAAGGGAATGCAATGTGACAAAACAGAAACAGAAACTGAAAGTCCTTGAAAACAAACTAACTGAACATAACTGTGACATATGTCATGTTAATAAAAACACAAAAAATACATTGCACAATGCCAAAAGAAGGTACTCTGCTGGTCGCCATAGACAGCTCTTTGATTGGAATCTAAGGACGTAACAAAACCTAATAAGCAATCAGAGATTCTTTGCTATGCTACTTCAGTGCATTAGAAAATTTCCAAGAAGATTTTAATCAAAGACCGATTTTTGTCGACCGAGCCTAGTGACCAGAATCAATTGTTTTCATTGTTTGAGAGTGTGAAAAATTATGTGACGTGAGATGATCTATAACTCCAGTGGGAAATAATTACTGTTGTGGAAATTTTAATAGTCATTGATCCCTAACAGATATCATAAGAGAGAGAACCTATTCAATGTGTAAAATATAGATGATTCAAAGAATGTCACATGTGTGTCTCACTTGTAGTGAGAGAAGATTCTGTTTATGTACCTGGGGAGGCAGAAGAGGGAGACACTCCAGAGAACAGACGAACAAGGACCTCTGACCTAGATGTCAGAAGGCCATTTTGGTGCAGGGGGGCTTATGGGCCAACTAGTGACGTCTATGGAAAACTACTGGGAGGAAGGCTCTGGGGGGAAGAAGGCCTTGAAACTAAGATAAAAGCTAGTTCAGTCTGTCTGGGGGTGTGTCACTCTTCTGCACAGGGTAACAACTGTGTATTAGACTGCTCCTATTCTTGCAAGAATAAATACTTCTATTTTATATAATTTGACTCTGAGTGTCTCTTACGCAGTGATGTTTGTTTGTTTGAGATGAATTTTTGCCACAACAGTTTTGGTGTCAGAAGTGGGATTCCTTGGACGTGCCTCCTGGACCTGAGATCGGACGGTGTTTGGCCACCTGGACTAAGTAAGTTCCAGCTCTACCTCGTAAACTTGAGAGAGAGGGGCCGACCGATATCAGGGCCGGGAGAATCGACCACTGGAATCTAAAGAACCCGCAGGTGGCAACAGAAGCATCTCTGGTAAGAGACAGTTCAATTTATTTTCTTTTGGGTAAGTTAATTAAATTCAGTTTAATTGGGGAGAAGAGTGAAATTGAACCATATTGGCTGAAGGCTGTTTCTGTGGTACGTAATCTGAGATTAATTGAGATCTATATAGATCAAGAAATTTCAAACAGATACGAGGGAAAAATCTGAGATTAATTGAGGTCTGTAACAGAACAAGAAATTTCAAGCAGATAAATAATCTGGGATTAAGTGAGAACTGTAACAGATCAAGAGATTTCAAACAGATAGGTACCCTGAAAATTAGTTGTTCCACGACGGAGCAAATTGTTTTTAGGTGCTGAGGCTAATTAGGGGGAACCAGAATTTTTTGGTAAACCATAATTAGGAGGGCACTAATAGTGCAACCCGACCGATTTGGGTTAAAAGAAAAGAATCGGATTTGTTAGGGACGCCTAAACAGATTACAGAAAACGCGCGTTGAAGAGAAATCCACAGAGAACAGAAAGCAGCCAGTATGGGGATGTCTCAAAAGCAAGCTTGCGAAATTTGATACACCGGTTTTCTGTAGAACTAGGAAAGTATGGGGGAAAAAATGTATGTTTTAGATATTGAAAAAACTGAGAAAATACCATGATTTTCCCAGGGAGGGAACACTGAGCACAAATAGACTAAGAGTGTGCGAGAATCAGTGGAACAGGGCAGCGGGACAAAAGGTTGTTGTGGCTGCGTTCAACATGTGTGTAAAAAATGTGAACAGATAATGGATTGTTCAGTTGAAGATAAAATGTCGAACTGCCAGGAGAAATAATGTTTTTTACTTCTTTATCCAGTAAATGGATGCATGACATTAGATGTCTATAGAACTTAAATTTATATGACAAGGATTGAAGTGGCAAGAAGCAATAAGGCTGTCTGTGTGGAATAGAGGGAACTGTAAGTGAGGTATGTGTGTGTGGGGATTGTTCAAACAATCATGTACTGGTTAGATAATGAAGGAACTGGCATGTAGGGAAAAGAAAGGAGAAATATAGTAGAAAACTATATGTGATGAAAATAGACATGGTCTGACAGAATTTATGGAAGTCAAATTAACTGTTTA